GTTGCTTTTGGATGAAGCAGCTGCAATAGATGCGTTGTGAGTTCGATATTGCAAACGCATCTATACAGGAATCCCATACCAAAGATTGCTCTTTAGGCTTTACCGATGAAGATGTTTTCCTTTAGAAATTTGCAGTGCAATTTCCTTTAATCTCAAACGGAGTGTTGCAAAGGGTGTATGAGTGTGGTGTGACTTGCAGAGTTCTTCGGGAAAAAGGTATGTGTCTAAGCTAAAAACATTATATGAAATCATTCTTCGTGGAACCGTTTATTTTAGTGCATCCATTTCATGTATATTCCACTATTATATAAGTTTTTTTTATAATAGGTAATATATAATAATATACAGTACTGTGTAAATTTGATAAAAAACCGTCCTATATTTTTTAATTTATCTGCAAATAAATTTAACTCGTAAAAATTATAAAAAATATTAATTAATACGTGGAAATGTTTTCCATCAAATCTGCACAACACTGTATATTTTAGGAATATTTATTTGTTTGTTGGATCATTAAAAATAAGGTCAAAATCCAAAGTTAATTCACACTTTCTTTATTTTGTTGATAACTCACTTCCGTTTAATTTTTTGACATTCCGTTTGAAGAATAAGAGGATCAATTAATGTAATAAAAATGATCTTAACTAAAAAATGATTGCTATAATTTTAGATTTTGGCAAAATGCCAAAAGATTTCTATTTAGCCTATACTCATGAGCGGTTCATACCGCTGATATGCGGCTTAAGGTTATAAAGTGTTTCTAAGGGGTATGAGGGTACCCCACCTAGTCTCTCGTGTATTTTTTCTTAAGTTGTTGAATGATGGGTTAACATTAATTTTTTTTAAAAATATATAATATGGGAGATTTTGTTTTAGTTTTTATGGTATACTAAAATCTAGGATTGTGATGAGCTTAGTGTGTATATTTTTACTTTTGTAAAAAATTGTGAAAGGTTAATAATCAATCTAGTAGAATCTGGAAATCATGCGCATATGTCTTATCGAGCTAGCTTGACTGTGAATCTATTTGTTCGTTCAAAACTTGGCAGTTGTAAACTAATATCCTTCTTTACATAGGTGGGAAAAAATCACTCGAGAAAATAGGTGGGGTACCCTCAGAATTTAGAAACACTATATATTGAAATCAAACATGATACCAGATGTTGTTTATAAATGCGGAAGATTTTTTGTTTTCAAAAATTATTCTTTTTTAAAAAAGGAACTAAATTAAATTAGAAAATATGTATTATAATTATAAAATAGCAAATTTATATTTATAAAAAAACAATTTTAAAAATTAAATGTTCAAGCTTGATCACACCTGGGTAAAATTTAGGAAGGCCCGTCACGCCTAGTAATTTAAAATTTATTAACACTCATGCCGTGACCCACTCGTGACATGATGGGTCATGCTTATTTCACGGCCCGCGCTTACCTCTGATTATTATATTTAAGCGTGAGAAATTATATTTTTTAACTGTAAAATAAATGGCGATAAATATGTATTAAAGTTAAACACATCAATTAAATTTTTTAATGTTTGAAATTAGGCTAGGAGAACCAAAAACAAAACGAGGAATCATAGTTTGTTATTGCTAGAGTGTAATAATAATTTATATTCATAAGTGTATGTTTCTACGATTATATAGGATAAAATTAAAACAACTTAAAAACCGTAAAATTTTACTTTGGCGCAAATTTATATTTTATGACTAAAAATTTCAAATATTTTTTTTATTATTTCTTTTTAAAATGCGTTTGAAAGGAAATAACATTCAATACTACCCAATTTAAAATATTGTTTTATCCAATTTAGAGAAAGAGTAGGAGATTACATTTTAAAAAAATTTTTTTATAATATAAAAATTTAACTTTTTCTAAAAAAATAATATATTTTTTATATTCCGTCTCTTTGTCGTCGTTCCTCATCTCGCCTTCATTATTTTTATTTTTTTAAATATTAACAACTTCCTTATTTTTATTTGTCCCAAAATAAAAATTATTTGTCCGCCAAGCCCAAATTATTTAAATATAGAAAAATTTATTTTTAAAGAATATTAGCGCCTTGTATCTTATAAGAATTAATTATATCAATTTATTTGACAAAATATAATGATACCGCATTTAAAATTTAAAGCCCGGCGCGATTCGAATTTTTTTTAAAAAATATGAGGCCCAAACAATTATTTTTAAAAATAGGGCAACACGTGAGCGACCTAAAAGTTAAGGAACAAATCAGGCGCGTAACCATTGGGGGGGGGAAGGGGAAATTCCCCCCCCCATCGCAAATTTGACTATTTTCATAAATATCATTTTAAGCTAATAAAAATTTTACCCCCACCCCCCAGATTCCCCCCCCTCCACCAATCAAAATTTTACAAATATTTGAATATCAATTTTCCAACATATTATTCAAAAATATTAATAAAATGGAAAAATATTTAGTCAAAGAGATTTAAATCAAACGATAATTTATAAATAAGGCTGAGCATGAAAAAAAGTAATGTGTCGTTAGCAGCGATATCATTATTGAATTCAATTGATCAATCAGAGTTTATCATTGCTGCTAGTTGCATCAATAAATTATTTTTAGCTCACTACTTTGTAGAAATTTACAAAAACCAAATTTAGATTTAGTTCAAGTTATTGATTTGGCGGAACATTGGAAAATATACATGAACAGGTAGATACAATAAGAATAAATGATACTAGACGTTGAATCGAAGGCTAAATTTTATGATATAATACTAATTAAACCTCGTCTAGCACCTAGGCCATTATTGAGATGAAAATAAATATTGGCTCAACTGAAGAATATTATAAAATATCCATTTTCATCCCATTCTTAGATACTTTTTTATAGCAAATAAAAGTACGGGTTTTAGATAAAAAACAAGTCTTTAGCAATCTTCAAGTTTTATTACCCAAAGATCCTTCTTCATTTTCTAATGCCACTAATGGTAAAATTAAATATTTAGAAAAATTTTATTCCTATGAGATTGATAATGAAATAAATTTAATCAGTGAATTCGAATTGTGGTATAAATATTTATACGTTTAGCTATTTTACCTGAGCATGATATTGATGCGCTCAATCGGTGTAAAGAAACCTTGGCTCAATTTCCTAATATTTCGAAGTTGTTTTATATTCTTGCATGTTTGCCTATTACAACATACGAATGAAAGGACTTTTTCCAACTTGAGAAGGTTGAAAACATATTTACGAAGTACTGAATCTCGGCTAAATGGGTTAGCTCTGTTAAATATACACAGAGATTTGGTTCCAAAGACAAACGAAATATATAAAAATCTTGTATTTGATAAGAAGTTAAAAAAACTTGTTAATTTAATTATTTTCTAGTCAATATTTTTAACTACTATTAATATTTTCAATAAAAAAAATTATATTCTACTTATATTGTATGAGAATTTAAGCTGAGGCAAGTTTTTAAAGCAAATTTTAAAAAAAAATGACATTACACTTTATTTCAACTTTACACATAAATAAACCTTTACATTTAAAAAAACTTTATTAAATATAATATACCTAACTTGAAATAATAAAAAAGAGGCTTGTAATATCCTATCCATAAGCACGAATTAGTAAATAATAGTTAAAAATAGAAATATAATTATATCTAAATAAGACCCGGCCGAAGGCCGAACGGGGAAAGATGGCCGAAGGCCGGGGAAAGATGGCCGAGGCTAAAAGGGGTTTGGGGGCGAAGCCCCCAAAAAAATTTTCCCCCCTATAAGAAAATCCTGGATACGCCATTGGAACAAATTTAGCTAGCTCACTCATGTTGCTCAACGAGCTAGTTTGATTCTGAATCAATTTTTTCACTCAAAATGGCGATGACACACCATTTCTACATAATTATAATTTTAAAATATCTTATTCACATATAAATAAATTCAGCCTCAAAAGTCGGCTTAAGCCAATTCGGGCCAGCCGACTCATATGGTTCAATGAGCCGGCTTAGCTCAGCCATTTAAGAACACTAATCGCGACCTATTTCTTGAAAAAAAATTTCGGATAGGAGTCGGCTCTTTAAATTTTTTTTTATCGGATTCAATCAGTTAGCAAACATTTCTAAACTTTATCTCGAATCCAGTCCGACTAGAAAAAATAGGTCCAATGTGGGGCTCTATTATCAATTAGACCTGTAAGACATATTTGATAATTAACATTAATTATAAAAATATTTCAAAGTGGATAAGATAGAGGACAAATAAATATCATTGCGAAAAAAATTAAAAAATCAAAAATTGCAATTTATCAAAAAATAAATAAGGAATAAGGAAACATAAGTTTTAGTCATTTTACTCCTTTGATTTTTCGTGCCATACAGGGTTAATAAATATAATTTTGAATCGTGAAACTAGGTCAGGAGCTAATACCTAGTAATTGCCTGAGGGTACACTAATAGATACTTATTGCTGACCCGTCAATAAATTCAAACAGACAGCTTAACGGCGTAGTCTAGAAAGAGGCCATAAAACAAAATGATTTTAATATATTTTAGTATATTTGTTTTTAATATTTATTTCAGAAATTCAAAAAATAAATAATAAAGGATGGATGTAGTAAAATTAATAATATATATGGTATATGTATGTATAATATCTAGTATTTTAACAAATAAATTAAATGTTGGTCATATTTATACCAACAATGTGTAATTTTTAAAAAATACATTATAAATAACCAATATCATAATAATAAATTTAAAGTTTGATAAAATATATAAATATAGATGGCATGTTAATTCAATAAATAATAATATGAAACCAATTAAATCATTCAAAATTTAACGATCAATATAGTATTTTTTAGGGATAAAAAAAGAAGATGATTATATACTTCAAAGATTATCATAGATGAAATCAAAAAGTATATAATGTATATAAATTTTCGATTATTGATTTTTGTTATAAATATAATATTTTGATATATTATAAGATAAATAATTAAGTATAAGTTCAATACATAGACATCAATTAACAATTATTTTTGCAGCATTTTTTAACAAATATATGAGAAACCGATCCCTTAAAAAGATAAAATAATAATTTTGGAAGCTTTTAGTCCCGAAAAAAACAATAGTTTTACTTAAATGTTGAATCTTATAATAACATTATAATTTCATACGTATCATCATCACCAATCTACCCATTCATTCATATAAAATAATGAAAAAACAACTCCAATATTTATATTATTACTTTTTTAATTTCCACCAAACAAATAAAAACGAATGTAAATTTTAAAAAAATACAATTATTTTAATAATGGTTTTGTAATATGAAAAAATAAAAATGTCAAATTTTCATATCAAAACTCAGTCTTTATGATGTGGAATAAATAAATTATGTGTATTGTTATTGTTTTTATAATTAAATCGCGATGAGCCTTTAATTAATGTACGGTAAGGTGTGTTCAATAAAATGTATGTATTAAAAATAATATTTTAGTAAGAAAATCAAATATTATCTACAACTTTTTACTCGTGTTATTGTGAGAATAAACGAGGTAGTGTATATGCTTATACATTATATAATATGACAAATTAAGAGTTTGTTAAATAAAACACATGCTATATAAAAGGAAGAAGAAAAATTTAACAATAAAAAATATACGCTGGATTGATTAATGTTATCCAGAAATATTTTTTTTGAGGGATTAAAAAGTTAATTCAGCAGCTCTCGTGTGCTACGTTGACTGTTGAGAGGGATTAGTGGGACAGGATTCAGGAAAGGTTTATTATATATGGAGCAAATAATAACACAAGAAGGCTAATGGTTTTTCAAAAGATTTATCACATATAATATACGTAGGGGGAGACATGTGAGGATCTCGTTATTTATGAAATTGGGAAGAATGAATACTTTAATTTATTTATATTTTTTGATACTACACAAATATATTGTGCAACATCAAAAAAATTGTAAATTTTGTTATTTTTATAATATAAAAAAATTAATTGAATAATTATCGGTAAATGTGATTTATCTATCCTTCTAATACATTATATAATCATCGAACGGATTTGATCCTGTGGTGAATGTTCCCCCCGGTGCTACCCTGAGACCGATCGTTGCCATTACCCTTGCCAGGTTCGGCATTATTATTAATAGTTTGAGGATTGTTTTTAGGGTTTGATTTTAGACGAAGATTCCCGGAATCGTTTCCGGTCATGGGAAGGAAGTCAGGATCATATATGTCGCTTTGCGTAGTGTAGCCGGATGAGTGCAAACAAAATTTTACGTAGAGCGCCAACTGCCACGTTGAGCAGTTTAGGTTGAGGTGCAAACGGCACACATGGACAACACGTTCAAAACAAACCACATTGTCTGAAGAAAATAAAGGGGAAAACGTGTTTTAATAAAGAAATGACGAGTTAATTTATTTTTAAAAAATCAAAAAAATTTAAAGATAATTTACAAATTTTCAATTATAAAAATGATCAAAACTGTTATCATCGTTGGGCCATAAGGTGGAATAATGTTTAATCATGTCCTCGGAAATGTCCCAAAGCTCATGGCATGCCGACAAATTCTGAAGAATAGTAAGATGTTCATGAAGGACGGATACGTCAGAGGACAGATTTGCATCAAAGCCCCCTCCTTGAGCATCTTTATTAAATGATGAATTCGTGGTGTTGCTGGAGTTGTCTTTGTTCGACAAAAAGAGGGAATGGACTTTGGCAATAGGCTTAATCATATGTTTTTTTTATATATATAAATCAAATTCTTGCGAGCTAAAATAAAATTTATGGTAATTTTAAATAGGCCAATCTCATAAAATGTGATTCGAAAAATGATAATTGACAGTTAAAAAAAATATTTACCATTAAAAATTTTTGATTGCGTGGAATGTCATGAGCCGAACCCCGTTGTTTTTGGCACCGGTATAATTTGTAGTAAAGAAAAGATTCGATTTTATAGCTTTTATAATAAAATAATTTATCGATCATTTAGTTTGGCTCATCGTCAACAAAATATAAATATAATTATTACATTTTTTTGAAAAAAGTTCCCAGTCATTTTTACAGTAAATCAAGAACTTAAAATGGGAGAAAATATTATTTTTAATGTATAACAACTATTTCCGATAAATTTTATAATATGCTTACATTAAGATAGCCGCGCAAAAATTATTCAAGTAGAGTTTGGTCTGTGCACGATCATTACAAGATTTTTCAATCCTATCCAGTATGTGACTATAAATATATTTAAATAAGCTATTAATGAGTGATTAAAATTGTTATCATATTTTAATTTTAATTAGATGGATGACATAAAAGCAAAAAATTTTAATGACGCACGTGCATAATTTGAGAGTATCACTGTAAACGCTAGAGGCTCGTAGGCAATCTCCAGTGACATTTTCGACGTAATCACCATAAAATATGAAATAAATAACAGCGTCAATGTATAGCATCTTTTTTCGATCTTTATCACACTTAAGTTGCAAATATTTATAAAAAATATTAACGATAACACTTGTTTATATAAATAGAGCTATAACAAAATATGATCTATTTGGGGATGCAAAAAAACAACAAAAGTGTGAGATATATATTTTAAAAATATTCCTATATTATATTTTTTATTAGGATTGTACAAGTAATAAAAAATATAGAAATAGAAAAAAAACCAATGTTTTTTACGAATAAAACAGTTTTTTACTCCTAGGTTCGTAACTAATAGAAGCAGTAAAAGACATATATCCAACAAAATAATCCGATTTTAAAAAAATGAAGGAGCGACCTCTCTATCGGCAGCACGCTTTAAATTCTTAGCGACGCGGAGTAGATGATGAGATGAAACCAGAGATAAGCGGGGATCGAGACCAATGCTGCACCAAAATCGGGTGTTATACGAGTCAAGAGGCGGGGGCAATGTGGCTTGCTCGTGGTTCCATTTCAGGTTGTATGACGATGATTGAATTTGCCTGCTTTCAGGTAGGGCCGGTGTTGTAGCAAATGATCTATCGTTTAGAGTAACGTTTTGTCCCATTCTTTGGTCGTCCTGGCTATTACACTATTTTTAAATAAACATGTTCGTTTTAATTTGCATGTATAGTGATTTTAATAAAAATCGAGTAGAGTTTCAACCAAAAACAATCATTTTTGATAGATGGTAGGTAGGGATGGGAGCAAACAAAAAAAAACTAAATAAGACAAAGGGATATTTTAAAAAACCAAAAAGTAAAACAAAAATAAGCAAATCAATATTTAAACAATAAATGCCATTTTCCTATCAATAAATTTTTTAATTAAAAAAATAAAAAAAACTAATAACTACTGGTATAAAAAAAACAAAAAAATTATAGTCAAGCTCAAGACAAAATATTTAATAATTCCTGATTTTTTTGGTTCCTACTTATAATAGGTAACTAAAAATAACTCATCTAGTTGGAGGTTTTATTGTTAGTTCTTATAATTCAATAAAAATATATATAACCTGGGTATTTAGATGAGCTAAACGAATTTCATTGGTAGGATGTTGCGATTGGTTTCTTCTTTTTTTATTTGAAAAAAATAAATACCATTTATAAGAATAAAAATGTCATTAATAATATAAATGATCACCAAATATATAGTCTTAAAACTTACACGTCATCGAGATAATTAGAATTATCGAGATTCAAATGGCTATGCGAATCTCCGCATTTGACGAGGCCATGAGTTCTCTGGGCTGTCGCAAGAGACGTTGAGGGCTCATTAGCAGTTACTGATTCTCGACGAGGTTTGAGGGGAAAAAAATCCCCAATAGTGCTAGCCGAGGAGACGGATAAATCTGCTTGAGAAGCGAGGTGGAAGGTTAACGGATCGCAATCGGCGTCGCCAGAAGCGGAAGTGGAACAACCGTTGTAGAGGTAGGGTAAGATAGGAATCTTTTTCACAAGCGACAAATCAATGCGAACGGTCAAAGAGGAGGGCAATTTGCGAGGATGGGGGGCCTTGGGGGCCACAGGGTTCTTTAAATTTTTTCGATCGACGACACCAATAAAGGGGTTATTTAACGCAATGATTTCGGAAAGAGTTTTTCGTTTGACAACACCCTGTTTAGGGAGAGCGCAAAGGACGCTAAAGTTGTTAACAGAAGTTTTATTAGAAATGGGGCAATTACCATTTTCTCTATTTGCTGGACAATCGAGGTTAGATTTGACTACAATTATATCTACATTAACAGGGAGGCCGTTAGGTTCGAGGCGAGCATTTTGAAATGAGGTTTCAATCGAGGTGATCTTCATTTTTTTATTGCTGCCAACGCCTTCGGATGTGTCACGGCAACGTTTTTTAATATTTTGAGTAGAGTATACGATCGTCTTAACTTGTACCGTTTGGGGAGTGTCTTGGGGTGGTTCTTGATTAATTGTGTTATTGCGATCATTAAAATTATTTATTATCGAGGCATCTTTATCGATAAAGGTGTCGGCACAATTATCTGTCAGGATAGAGGAGACCGATGATGAAGGCGGCGGTGTTTTTTTGCGAGCCAAAAGGCGATACTCCTTAGCCAAGCGTGCGGTTGCTCCGCGTGGACCCTCACAATTGTCTGCGGGTTGCTTACCTTTGTTCCCTTTGGCATGAGAAATTCCGTCGGTACCCTTGTTGTGAAAATGGTTTGGTTTGAGAGTGGAGCCTAAGTCCACCACGTTGTAATAACATGCATCGACGGGCCCTTCTAGACGTTCCTCGATTTCCGCCTCCAAATCCAAAGTTTCTTTGACTTGAGGTAAGGGTGTCAATCGGTCCAATTCTCGAGATAGAAAGCTGCTCAGAGACCAGTCGTTGTCCTTAGCCGAGTCCTCTTGCAATTGAGTCATCAGCTAGTTTTAAAATAAAATATAATCTTGCTTCCCATTATAATTTATTAAAAAGGCAGATATATTATAAATAAAAAATGATAATTAAATAAATTTGAGATATATGATTCCTGGAATTAGAATTGGATTGGTGCCGATTTTCAGCTTTTGAGAATTAATAATTAATATATTATTATATATTAATTAAAATTATTTACAGGCCGAGGTGAAAAAAATTAGGCGATGCCACAAGCCTGTGTTGGCGCAGCAAAGGGCCAAGTGGCAATTGCAATATATTAAACAAACGTGCAAATCAAGGAAATTGATATATCTTAAAAGAATTTTAAAAAAACCTAAACTAATTCATCATAAAATTCAATATTAATAAAAAAATAATAATAAAGAATCAAATGAGTATTAGTAATTGATTGTTTAATAAGATAAGGATGACAAGAGTGTCTATGTTTGATGCCACTAAATGCCAAGTCAGAGTTATATCATTATCAGTGTCCAGAAATATTATTGACATCTCATATTATTTATCTGTATGATATAATATTTAACTATAATATCAGATTCAGATAGGTATATTATATTGACTCGGTACTAATCAGGGTCCGAAATGTTTTGCTATAAATTAGGTAGGCTAATGCTATGAATTAAGTGGGCTAAAAATTATATAGCCATGTCATTAGTCAAGTAAAAAGAGTGTCTTATTTTTAATTAATGGAAGGTGACGAACAAAGAATTCATGTGCTATTTAATACAGTAAAAATTGAAATCCCAAAGTAATGAACATATGTGCATAAAGATAAATGAAATTCCTTAACTAAACTAATTATAGAAGTCCATAACTAAAGAGATTAAAAATACAAATTAATTAAAGAAGCACATAATGTGATTAGTGTTGTTAAACAAATCGTTTTGAGCCATTATTTAAAAAAACGGCTAACTCATTTCATTCAGAAAAATATTACGCAAGCCTGAAGATTTTGCTCACAGAAAGAACAAAAGTCTAGACATTGTTCAGCTTTAAAAATCCCAATCAAAATCAGCAAAAAAAAATTTTCTATAAAATTTTTTCTTTTGTTATAACCAAAAAACGAAGGTATTCATCTCCAAATCAGATTCTATATAATCTTTGCATTCTTTGCGACATTGGTTTATCGCATTTCCCCATTGGTCGCCTCTGAGTCATTGTTCATATATATCCTTGTATCTAAGCGTCTTAATTCGTAGTTGTCTATATCCTAATATATGCAATCTGACTATCAATTTGTTAAATGTGTCGCCTTTCGAACCCTTCGTTCCCTTTTCTCACACATTCTAGTAAAAGGGAACAAACATATCAACGTTGTCTAATAGGACGTTGTTTTCGTTTTTTTTAAATCAAGATTTTATATCTCACCGGATGATTTTACTTCAGTTATCAATCAACCCGAATTTTGTGCAATTATCTATCATTCCATTCCGCATTTATTTACACTATATTTATTATTTGCCTATATTCTCCACCACAATTACCTTTCCTCATTTTGTACTTGTTCGTGCCTTTCAGGCACAAGCCCGTTTTTATGGCTCCCGCATAAGTTCTATTATTATTTTAGTACAAAATCACCAAAATTTTATCTTTTAAACCAATTTTTCACAAACGAAGCCACCATTGATCTCAACCTGATCATTCGAGATAGTGTGATAACGATGGCTAACTTTCCAACTGAAACTGTAGTTTCGACAATTCAGAATTTTGCCTATAAATTTTCGAATTTTTAAACCGTTTCAATCGTTAACCCGAGAATTTCCAAATTTCCAAAAGCTTAAAACGTTACTCAAAAATGTAACGCATTACTTAACCGTGGTGTAAATTTATGAAAAACCTTAGTCACACAAATAATGCGACCAAAATTTTTCATAAATTATATAATGCAAAAAATGTTGTTTTTCTCATGATTTCTAACTTTTTGAGTCCTTATAATGCCATTTTGAGTATCTTTCATGAGGGATGTCTCGAAATCGATTAAAGCTATATCACCGTTTGGTTTATTGGAACTAAATAGATAAGAAAGAAAAAATTGTAAATAAATTATTATTTCATGTTTCTCAAAAAAAATTATATTATAACGAAAGAAATTGTTTAACATTCCTAAAGGAAACCATAAATTTAAAACATTAAAAATTGGGAAATAGTCTTATTTTGAGATGGGGGAGGGGGGGGGGGTATGTATAAACAGGTAATACTATACTTGTTTGTATTATATAACATATTATATTAGTATAGTTATAATATATAAAAAATTATATAATATGATAAATTTCAAACTTTTGGTCAATATCTTGATATCGAAGAGACAGCGCGCAATTTAGTTTGCATTAATAATATAAAAAAAATTATAATTTTTTTTTCAGAAAAAAATTATGTTCTTCTTTTTCCTCCCATTTTATTTCTAATCCTATAATATCTATATATAAAAGCATAGTTTCGTTTCGTAAATTATTTATCAAAGAATGAGTGTATGCAACCATCCATTACGTTATTATTATAAGATTCTAACTCCACGTTTACGTTAAAAAATTGGGTCAAAATTATACATGAGGGAAATCTTGTCTAAAGCTATTTTTTAAAAACTTCTACTTTTGAAACGCGAAAATCTACGCAACTCTCCTTTGCAAATCAACTTCTGCTTAGGACAGCTGTATCAGTAGTCTACATTAGCACTTTGCAGAAGAAAATGCATATTTTAAAAAAACGCTGGCATGAAGGGTAAAAAACCTAAATATTAATTTTAAATATGTGAATCTTTTGAAAAATATATAAAAGTGGAACTAGAATCCGATAAATGTTCATAAGCGATGCGGCGATAAAACAGTAAACCTTTGCCCAAAAATTATATAATTATTATACATCTTTTATAATTGTTAAATAAATTGAAAGCTCAGATAGAAGTTCGTTCTGATAAATTCTAGGCAGCAAGCGGGTAAATTATTTTAGAAATACAAACCTTTTATTAAATTGGCATTTGACCGATCATTACGAAAGCCATTTTGATGACCGGCGGAATCCTTCTGAACTTTGTATTTGTCGATATAGCCATGGTTACTATCAGATGTGTTTTTTTTTGGCATAATTGTGTCGTCGTTTTTATTTGTATCGATATTTTTCGCCACGAATACTTCGCGTTTTTCGGGTAATTTCTGAGTCGTTGAGATTTTGGAAAATGATGATGATACGATGTTAACCGTCTTCGTTTTTTTAAAAAAAAAATAAATGAGTAAATTTTATCTATTAGGGTTTAGTCTAGCTATTTAAATGAACTGTTATCTATATGGTTTTTTTAATGTAGAATTGAATGAATTAAAACTTCTAGCGACCCATTTCTAAATAAAACGTTTAAATTAATAAAATATTTGTATTTAAGCTAATATATTTGGAATTCTAATTAATATCCTTCATTTATACTAGTTTAGTTCCAAATTTTTTAAACAAATACTTCATGAATGTTGAATGCATGTTTGGAAGAGGATATATTTGCTTGAGAATTGATTGGAGAAAGTGGTGCAGGTAATGAAAAACATTCCTTTATAAAATATAATATTTAATAGTTAAAAAATTTTTTAAAAAACGGTAACATGATAACGATTCAATAAAAATAATATACCCCTTTTTAAAGAAATTCACTAATTTAAAATACCGATTTTTATGATAAATTAAAACGAATAATAATTTTACTTGTATTATTTGTGATATATCGACATCCTCCTAAATATAAATAATTTTAAAAATTTTTTAGATAATAATTAACATTTTATCTAATTTAAAAACAGAACCCAAATGCTTAAAATTAAAAAAACATACCCTAAACTGGTATTTAAAGGATGATGTCTTTAGACTAGATGTTGGTTTAGCTGGGTTAGAGAGATTACAGGTGTTGTCGAGATTTTTAATGTTAAGGGTACAATTTTGATTAACAACTAGGTCATTATTTGATCTCGAAACATTATTTTGCGCGCTTTTAAATTTAGCGGTGTTGTGGCCCAAATTATTAGGAGCACCCTGGGTACCTTGAGAATTCGAAAGCTTGTCGTCAACGCCAATCTTGATGCTTTCATCGGTGTTGGTAGATTTGATATCACTCGGACCAACTTTAGCATCGTTAGTATCGACGATGGCGTGACCAGACTGACTTGCGATGACAGGAACGGGGCGATTAACGGAGGAGGATTTGCGGGAGAAAGGTTGAAACATCTTTTCGAGAACCGGTTTAAATTCGTCATAATCACCCAGGGCTTCCTTGATCAATTTTTGAGAGTGGTCGTTCACCGAGGGCGAAATCTTGGAGTTTAAAGATGAATACAAATAATTTTTTAAGGGCCTTAGTCGTTGGAAAGTTAAACCCAAAAGCATTATACAATATCGTGTCTATAAAAAAATTAAAAATACTAACACTACGCTAAAAATTATGATATATGTTTCTTGAAGTGATTAGAAATTGAGCAATATTTTAACCAGAAAAATATTGTCTAAAACTTTGTGCCTTTTATGAGAAAAAAATCGTTAGGCTTGCCTAATATTTTTCTGGATAAAATAATGAGTAGCCGTTTAATAAAACTACGTGTCATACATATTACCTTGACGGGTATACCAAATATGGGAGCGTTGTATTTGGGCTCACTGGTGAAAGCGCAGACTCTCTTTCTGAACGCTTGCTCTCGCATCTTCAACTGATTTTTCGAGAGAGTTTGATCAGCATGATGGTGAGTCGCGTCAAGAAGTGGACCAGATACTTCACTATAAATATAAATTATATTTTTTCATAAAATTATAAATTATATCGAATATAAAGAATCGATAATCAAATCAATCTATTTTCAAAAAAAAAATTCTACTCAAGATAAACGTTTTTGATAATTTTATAGAAACTGTAATCATTATAACATTTCCATAATTGACCTAATCGCATGTGAAATGAGGTCAAGGCACATAATTAAAGGGTGGGGTAACCTTGTTAAAAATTAAACGTAATGAACATGACAAATAGAATGTCCGAGGTAATATTTTATTTTTGGAGTCGACACCGGTTTAAATATAAGGCGATTCTTTTTCGATTGCCTGAGCACCTGTTTTTGGCGCATCAAGTTATTTTGTAAAATTATCTTTAACTTATCAATAGCAAAGCAACATAATTTGTCCTGCAATTTGAGATTTTGAGAGAAATCCAACGACCCCATAAATAACTACAAATAACGAATTTATCAAGGTTTCACTTCTCCCTCCCACTCCTTTCATGTATTTATAGAGGAACAATATTATAGATAAAATAAATAAAGTTATAAAAATATTAATCATGATTTCGGTATAAAAAAATGGAATAATAACTATTTTATCCTTAAATCAAAAAAAAACATTTATTACTGGCAAAGAATGCTAACATTAAAATTTTTTTATATAGTACAAACAAAATATATTTTATATTATATCATAAAAATATTGTAAAAGAAAAAAAAGAGATTTTTTGCGGAGCTTCAAATTAACTAGTGCATATCGTCAATTTATACACCAATATACATATATACACTGTGTATATATTATGTAAATGTATCATACAATATTAAAAAAATATACCTAGGAATGAATGAATGAATTTTTAATTTAAAAATAAAAATAGGGAGATTAATAAAAAAAGAATCAATGTGCTTTATCATTTAACCACTACCTCACAAATGAAATGAAAGGGTGGAATGGGGGTGAGGCAGCCAAAATAATTTTTACCAATTGCTCGGCCTTGCCTGTTAGTTAAAACATAGACTTCGAGTGTAGTGTTGTCAAACGGCTCAATTTCAGCACATATTTAAAAACGATTAAAAATATTTTATCCAGAAAAAAATATTACAAAAGCCTGAAGAATTTTACTAATAGATGGCACAGTTGGACCTCTATTAGCGAAATCGTTTTAAAAATAGGCTCAAATCGAGCCCTTTAACATCACTACTCGAGTGATGGAAACCCAAATTTTTAAGTTCCCGAATCTTATTACCGAATTTCTAAAAGCGAACCAAATCTTTATAATTTTTTCGGACTTAAAATTGTAAAATCATGTAATTTTTCTAAACTAAACATAATTAATATTTACAAGGAGAATCTGGATTAATCTTAGTTTCAACAAAATATTGAATTACTTATTAAGCCTCGACTAATAATAACAGATTTTTATTAAACAAAAATAATAGGATTTTTTGTTTGAGTTTATTCAAAAAATAATAATTTCTGAACTTAACAAGTAAATATAGTAAAATGAGGTTAAAAATCAAAGAGAATTGATTTATATCGTGATTTTTATTCTAAAAAAATCATTAATTTAATCATGCCAACTGCTTTTATTTATATAAATAAATCAAATCACAATATTAATTTAACGAAGCGAGGGGGGGGGGTGTTAAAAAGCCGGATTTGGGTCAATTTTTAAAAACGACCCGATTACGATTTTAGTAAAATAATATTATGTGGGCAGAAAGGTTTGGATTATTTGCCAAATCTCGAAGCTTACATAATATTATTTTGGCTATCTTAATCGGGTCGTTTTTAAAAATCGACGCAAATCGAGGCTTTACCTCTATGCTTTCAAATTATCAGTTTTAAAAAAATTCAAACCCAAATAAACTCTCTAAATTTTCTAAACAGGAACAGAGCGGACGGCCCGGATTTCAAAAAAAAAATTTGTCCTATCATATACATTAATATTATTTTATCATGGGTATCAAATGAAAGCTAATAAAACGATAAATTGAATACATTGATACTCAACACTATCATCGGGGAAAATGGAGGGGGGGGGGGGGTAAAGAGTTAGACGACGTGGTGGGATTAAAAAGTTTCTAACATAAATTTCGAAAAAGAACAATTTGTTATATGGATAATTATAACTATTATAGGGTGGAATGGAGTGGAAAATCCAAAAAATTTATCAATATTTCAAAATTGTTATCTTATAAAAGCTAATATAAAGATCTACTGATAATATTGTAATTTTTACTCATCACTATGTCTTTAGGAGCATTTTGACTTTCTAACATTTCAAACATTAATATAAATATTCCTGAATGTTTAATTTACTAAATTTTTATTTAAACAAAACCATATTTACAAATCAAAAATAAATTTTAAAATAAACCCTCGTAACCAGTCATTTTTATTTAGAGGAACCGGTAAGGACTATGACGGTGGAGAGGGGGGTTGGCGTAATATCGTCATTGAAATTAGAAGGTGGAGATGTCCATGGAAACGGAAGAGGCCAATATTTTTTAAAAACTTTATAATCGTATACAAATTCATATAATCAATAGTACCAAGAAAAAATATCTCTAGTAATTAAGTAGCTAGTTCATGAGCGTTTCATTTTCTGAGCGATTCATTTTTTAATCTGAGCGTTCAGTTTTATGCCTGAGCAATTAGTATTTTTTCTGAGCATGTATGAATTTTTTTTCTATTTCAGTTTTAATTCTGTTCGATTAAATAAAGGTTTTTCCTTTTGTGTGGTGTCACATCAACCTAAATCTAAATGATTTTAATTTTTATATTTTTTAAATCAAGTTAGAAAAAAAAACCAATGGCCACGATAATATTGTAATTTTTACTCATCACTATGTCTTTAGGAGCATTTTGACTTTCTAACATTTCAAACATTAATATAAATATTCCTGAATGTTTAATTTACTAAATTTTTATTTAAACAAAACCATATTTACAAATCAAAAATAAATTTTAAAATAAACCCTCGTAACCAGTCATTTTTATTTAGAGGAACCGGTAAGGACTATGACGGTGGAGAGGGGGGTTGGCGTAATATCGTCATTGAAATTAGAAGGTGGAGATGTCCATGGAAACGGAAGAGGCCAATATTTTTTAAAAACTTTATAATCGTATACAAATTCATATAATCAATAGTACCAAGAAAAAATATCTCTAGTAATTAAGTAGCTAGTTCATGAGCGTTTCATTTTCTGAGCGATTCATTTTTTAATCTGAGCGTTCAGTTTTATGCCTGAGCAATTAGTATTTTTTCTGAGCATGTATGAATTTTTTTTCTATTTCAGTTTTAATTCTGTTCGATTAAATAAAGGTTTTTCCTTTTGTGTGGTGTCACATCAACCTAAATCTAAATGATTTTAATTTTTATATTTTTTAAATCAAGTTAGAAAAAAAAACCAATGGCCACTACATTTATAAAGTGATCCTTCGGAGTAAATCTTCTTTAGATAGTGACTATTTGTTTAAATGACATACGAAGGCCCAAGGCTGTGAACACTAATTAGGATTCAAAAAATTTTAAACTCTATTTAGATAATTTTGCTAACAAATATTTAATTGGAACCGCTTTTCTGTGAAACCCGAACCCGTCCTTATAACCCCACGAAGGGTTGTCAATTAATCGGTACTTGTTTTGTATGAGGTCTCAAAATCTCCTAACAAATTTTTTTTTAATTTCTAAACCCTAATTAGGGTTGACACATTGCAGGCCTCAGTTTTATTTAGCAAACGCTACAATTCAAAAAGTAATGGAGGGGGAGGAGGGAATATTGAAAGATTTTTTTTAATTTTGCCAATAAGAGAGAGAAAAAATAAAAAGGGGATTTCGTCAAGCTTTAAAAATTTTCAACAAAATCAAAACAAAACTATATTTTTAAAAAAATAATTCCCGATTTCATGATTAAATTTAAAACTTCCCATTTTAGATAGGAAGAGGATTGGAAGGGGGGGGGCTCGTAATAAATTTAATTCAGCAAAAATGTTTTATAAAATTAGGTCGCCATAACAGAAACAAAATGGCACCCAATATGTCTTAAAAGAATTAGACAAGTTTATAATAATTATCATCATTCAGTGTTATTTATATTTTTTAACAATATCGATCGAAATATTTTTTTTTGTAAATTGTAATTAGTTTTTTGATTGAACGATTTTTTTAAAATAACTAAGGTATCTGGCTAACTATACGTGCAAATGGTATGGTATGATGTAATAAATTTGATCATGTAAATTAGTAATTTTCGAATCCCAATATTTTCAGCAAAACTAATTAAGAGGTTTAAAAACGAATCATTATTGATCAAGTTATCAACATTTCGTCATTTTATTCCTATTCATTCTGCAATTAACATTTATTGCTATAACCGTGACGTCAATAAGAAAAATTTTAATAGTTCATTTGTTATAAAATTCGAGATAAAAAATTTTAACGATAGTTAGCCTGTGTTTTTTCGACTAGGGGAGGAAAATCAGCTGTTTTTAAAAATAGTTTATTCAAATTTATTTATTTTTCCAAAAATAAGCCCGGGTTAAAAAAAAATTTTTATTTTCTTATCATGTCTGGATCATTAGGCATATTCTCAGTTTCTTATAGTGCGCAATTGTGTACAAAAACTACGCTGCATTTCAAATGGTATAACATCTATTTTTGGTCTATGACCAGTTCTTTAATTCGGTTTTTCGCAAGAAATGCGACAAAACTTTGTTACCCATATAAGAATAATATAAGGGCGGGGGAGGGGACTAACTTTCCTAGTTATTTAATTATTTGTAAATTAAATATATAAAATATTTGTCTTTTAATGGTATATTTAGAAACTTATGCAATAAAAGGTCAGGCGATAATATAATTTACAAAACCAATTCTTCATTATAACTTAGGTGGCATTTATAATCAGGGATGTGAACCCGAACCCTCGTATTTTGGCTGAACCCGGACCCTTTTTAAAAGTGGAGGGTCCAAGGGTTCTAGGTGTCATAAAAAT